CGGAGAAATCTTAGATACCTATTACGATAATTCCACGGTCAGTGTATCACCATATTCAGAGTTCAGTATTAGGGAATTACGAGGTCTTGACAAGGCAATGCGAACAGTGCGGGGAGAACTCATCAATAATACAGCCAAGATATCCGAAATCGACAAGCATATAGCTCAAGAGAAAACAAAACTCGAACAGGCGGGCGATGAGTTCAGTAGACGCCGCGTAGCGGAAAGATTGCGTAACTTAGAAGACGAAAGATCGGCCCGCCTCGAAGCAGCTTCCAGTAATAGAAAGACACTTCGTTCGCAAATCAGTCGTATTCGAGAAACTATCGATCAAGTCCTCAACGATGACACTACACTGGCCGATAAAATTAAAACATTGTTCAGAGAACAGGGAATAACCATTGCCAGTATTTTAACCGCCTTGGGATTTATTATATCGACTTTGACTCTCTCGTTAACAGGTGGCAGTACAGGTGGTGGAGGTACACCGCCCAGCGATAAAAATGGTATAAAAGAGTGGATAAAAAAGAATTTAAAAGCATTAGGTTCAGCACTGGGAAAGCTCGCTGAGAAAGCCGCGGCCGCACTTCCCGGTATAATAGGGAGTGTTGTTTCCTGGCTATTGAATTTATTAGCTAAGACCACCACTTGGCTTAGTCAAAACTTGTGGGCACTGATCGTAGCAATTGCAGGGCTGTTGTATGTATCCGCTAAGAACTATTTAACCACCAAATCATGAGTAAACCAACCGAGACTCCACCCACTGCAAGCGCTGTTTTTTCATCGATATGTTGTTGATTTTTAGCCTCAATATGCGGTGGTACTTGAGCATTAGTAGATGGTTGAGCGATAGTTGGTGTTTGTGGCTTGACTATTCCCTTTTCGCCCGTGATCGTTTGCGTTATTAATTCAACGTTAATATCTGAATTTATACCTGGTTTTTGTTGATCGGTAGCGATAACAATTTTATTATTATAGCCTATCACTTGACCGATCTTAAGTTCCATATATGTATAGACATGTATAGTCCCGGCGCATAAACGAAGTCCACTTTTGATTGAGCGTACTGTAATGCATCTTGAAAACGCTTTATAGACGATGGTATGTCAACTGGTGAATTAATGGCGTCCTCCACGTTTGCGACAAACTGTTTTTGCGCGTCGAACGCCGTCCCAGTACCAATAATGGACGTTCGTGTTTGCGATTGTGCTCCGAGAATTGCCCATACATAAGTTCTTATCGATTCATTAACTCTTTCAAATCCTGGGTTAGTAAAATTATTTTCCGTTTTATCATTAAGAAATTCATTCCAAGCGTCTGTTGTATCGTTTGGATGCACAAACTTTGTTATAAGATAAGGAATGCCACTCTCAAAGTTCATACGATCTGCTCTAAACTGTTTACTCGAGAGAGCAAAGCCTGAAGGGATCACACCCGCTTTAATTAAATAATCGCTTTTATCTTTAATAGTTCTTTGTCCATTGTACGGAATACCTAGACCATGGCTAGGTCCTTTAATGCGCCAATCTTTACTCGTAGAAACATTAAATTCATTACAAATACGTTCGAAGGCCCTCTTATTATAATGATTATTTGCATGATTCCATGCTGGATCCATCGGTAATGGAGCACTAATTTCTTTAAGTATACGTCTAATCTGATAGTACACGTGAAATAATATAACAGACTTATATAGTTTAAATCCTGGGGCATTAACAGATACGCCACATCCCGTTGTGGCACACCATACGGCAAAGTTTAACTGATTCTGCCAAAATTGCATCGGACGGTTAAATCAATCGTCAATCATTGTATCGTTAGTTGCCGTGAAACTGTATTTTTCAAAGATATCTTGGAATTTAACGGTAAACTCAGCACCGGAGACAGTTACTATAATCGATTGATTAGTAATGTGAGTCGATTTCATATTTAAGTTATGATATAGTATCATTGTATATTTAATATGTATGTTACACTACCTGGAATAACAAATGGTCAGTCTATTGAACTGCTTCATACTATCGATAACTCGGATGGACAACTCGAAGTAGCTCTATGCGATGTAACGTATTACCCACTGTGGACCAATATAAGTGCTGTGAGAAGAAATAATAGTATAGATATAATAGGTGAAAACAATGGTATTGAAAAATTCATTACTATACCTGATGGGTATTACAGCGTATGCTCACTCAATGATGAAATTTTTAAGCCTAATGGAGCTAGTCTAACACAAAATGAGTCGAATGGGATAGTGAAAGTCGACTCTGGAGAAAAGTTGTAGTTCTTAGGCCATACTTAGAAGTTACACTTGGATTTCATCATAGAATAGGAATTATAAATTCTAACAAACCACGACAGGGAATTAAATTACCCGATTTAGTTCCCTATAAAGAGTTGTTCATCCATCTTGATCAAATAAGCACGACGGATAATATTCAACTAGAAAGTCCTTCAACTCTACTCAGAAGTGTTCCAGTGAAAAATGAAAAATATAATAGCGGTAGAACGGAATCATTCTCGTTATTACAATATAAAAAATTGAAGCGTGGTATTATTTCAGACCTCAAAATTTCTGTATTAGATGTAAAACATCAACCTGTACATATAGGATACTTAAGTGTAACACTACATATTAAAAATAATGGTTGATGCATCAGGCCCTGGAACAGTAAGACAATGTAATACAATTGCGCTTTCCGATCTCGGAGACACAGAAGGATTTGATAAACCCGGTTACAATGGTAAGTTATACGCTTTACACTTACACGATAATGTATACAAGCGGAAAGAAGTCACATTCTCGGGTAATCTAGGAGATTTAAGCGATGTTGATGTTAGTAGACTCCTTAAAAACACTTCGTACAATATTACTCGCAACGATGATAATAAATGGACTATGGTCGAAGCAAACATCGAGTGGCTACTGAATATCGTCATTATCCCACCTTATGCGATGATGGGTAAGGGACATAATTTAACTAAGATAATAAATAGTGGCATCGTACTCGCGGCTTATATCCCATCAAAACGAAAAAGTGTGTTGGTCACTCCCCTGCCAGAAAACCCAGGTCATATGATATATAGTCGTCCGTCCTTAAAAAACATTAGTTTAAATTTGGTTACTGAATTCGAAGATATTAAAGTTAACCTGAGTGCAATACCTAATATTTCTACGCTTATTATTGAAGTCTTGTTCGGAGATGTACCGGTAGATGCCTTCGAAATATTACCAGGTCTATCGATTAAATGGTTCAAGAATCATGAGCGTCAACGTTGCAGTATTATTCATATCGGAGCATCGCCCGTTGCAACCCTCGAGGGGGTCCAAATTATTAAGAGTGGTAGTATTTCTCTTTCTAAGATATTCTTGCCGTATAATATACATTTAATAAGGTTGATGTATAGTCTCAAAACATTTAAGCAAGACCAATTAAAGACTATTATATGATCGTTATATACACTATGAGTTTATATCCGGCGCTCAATGAAGCATTTGAAAAGATGGAAACTGTTGATGGATTTCGATTACATCAAATAAGCGACATAAAACATCGAATAGAGAAGGATAGGGAGTTGAGACTTGGATTGTATAAAAGGTATCGCAGAGCCGTGAATGCTCTGGACGGAGTTCACACCGCTCTTATAGTATCTGGCATGGGACTCGGTGTAGCGGGTATCGGTTTACTATCAACTATAATCGCCGCGCCTATCGTGCTCGGCATGGAAATAACCGCTGGAGTATCGGGACTGGCAGGAATAGCGATAAAATTCATTTCTCGTAGGTTACAAAAGAAAGCATTAAAACACGATAGTATTCGGATACTCGCCGAAGCAAAGTTGAACAGCATTGAGGATCATATTTCGACAGCAATGGCTGATTGTAAGATATCCGAGGATGAGTTTCGTTTAGTGCTGTCGGAGCTCAACAAATACAATAAAATGAAGCAGGAGATTCGATCAAAATCTCGTAAGACCAGTGGTATTAGCGAAGACGAGAAAAAAAAGTTCATAGAAGAGGGGAGGCAACAAGCGCGTCAATTATTCCGTGCCAAAACCAAAGAACTGGTTGGAGATTAAAAATAGATTGCTTACTATCGTTTGATCACATTTAGACAATTGCTTACATAAATATATAATAATGGAGAAAGCTATTAAATGGAAAGAATTACCACAAGGTTTTTATTATATCAGTGATGTCAAACCAACCAAATACGGTTATCAATTGTTTCTTATCAATTTACAAAAAGAGTGTAGTTATATAGTCTGGTCTCCTAGTAAAATGAACGAAGAACTTAATAAAAATGTTGAATATCGCTTTATCGATAAAAATAATAAAGAATATTTTTATTACCATTTAGACTCATCTAAAGCAATGATTGGCCCCAGGTATTGGTGAGCTAGAGCCAAACTCATGACTATCGTTAAATCACATAATCATTTTGACATAAAAAATCCCCCCTGTAGTAGCAGTATAGGTATATGAATCTGGCTCCAGTGGAAGTGGTCCAGAACCATCATTACCTATACTACTAGCTGTGACATGTGATTCGTATTCAGTCTGTCGATAATGTCTAGCCCGTCCCAGCTCGCGTATTATATAACATAAACATGCCTGCAAGCGATCTCTCGATTTCCCCGACTTTTGTCAGATGGAATGCTCCAATATGGTGCTCTATGACTTGTGCCCTTTCTCACTATATGATTACACTGTAAGACACGTTTGTGACACAATAGGTTAAAGGTGGGCCTAAGTAGCAATAATCTAGAAACTTAGTTCTTATACTCAAGGGTTTCAATAGAAACAAGGACCTATACTACTTTGAGTCATTAAGTGTTACATAGATGGAAACACAACTGTTTATATTTAGCTCCAGAACTGCACCATTACCAATGTCTTTACCATTTTGTTTAATGTTTTTTATAGATAGTTTTAAATGCAACAGTGTTGGTCATTCAAGCAGGTCAAAACCGTTTTACATCGATCTTGCGTCTTTCAGGGAAACAGACTTCAATGGATATAGGATTCACATTTACGGGTATGGACTGTTTATGTTTCCTGTAGGCTTGATCTATGTCTTGGTAATTATCAATAAGACACTGACTACTATTGTTGCGAAATTTAAACACGACTATTAACCTTGACATAGGTTCGTACAGGACTGAATTCTGACATAAGTAAACAACCACACAAGATCAATTAATAATTAACACATTACAATGAAATGCACAGATTTAGGAGTACAGTCACAAAAAGGCAATATTGGGTCACATAAGCCCCATGTGGTACCAAGCCCTGTAATAAAAATGCACTCACGAATGATAAGAATTAAGTCACTGCCGAGTGTCTTTACTTGGACACGTTCTCCGTTCTTGAATCTGGAATAATGTTGCACGTTCTCCATTCTTGAATCTGGTATAGTGTTGCACGTTCTCCATTCTTGAATCTGGAATAGTGTTGCACGTTCTCCGTTCTTGAATCTGGATTAGTGTTGCACGTTCTCCATTCTTGAATCTGGAATAGTGTTGCACGTTCTTCGTCCTACAATCTGGAATAGCTTTGCACGTTCTCCATTCTTGAATCTGGATTAGTTTTGCACGTTGTCCATTCTTGAATCTGGAATAGTGTTGCACGTTCTTCGTCCTACAATCTGGAATAGCGTTGCACGTTCTCCATTCTTGAATCGGGAATAGCGTTGCACGTTCTCCATTCTTGAATCTGGAATAGTGTTGCACGTTCTCCGTTCTTGAATCTGGAATAGTGTTGCACGTTCTCCATTCTTGAATCTGGATTAGTGTTGCACGTTCTCTGTTCTTGAATCTGGAATAGCGTTGCACGTTCTCCATTCTTGAATCTGGAATAGCGTTGCACGTTCTCCATTCTTGAATCTGGATTAGTGTTGCACGTTCTCCATTCTTGAATCTGGATTAGTTTTGCACGTTCTCCATTCTTGAATCTGAAATAGTGTTGCACGTTCTTCATCCTACAATCTGGAATAATGTTGCACGTTCTCCGTTCTTGAATCTGGAATAATGTTGCACGTTCTCCATTCTTGAATCTGGAATAATGTTGCACGTTCTCCTTTCTTGAATCTGGAATAGTGTTGCACGTTCTCCATTCTTGAATCTGGAATAATGTTGCACGTTCTCCGTTCTTGAATCTGGAATAATGTTGCACGTTCTCCATTCTTGAATCTGGATAAGTGTTGCACGTTCTCCATTCTTGAATCTGGAATAGTGTTGCACGTTCTCCGTTCTTGAATCTGGAATAATGTTGCACGTTCTCCGTTCTTGAATCTGGATTAGTGTTGCAAGTTCTCCATTCTTGAATCTGGAATAATGTTGCACGTTCTCCGTTCTTGAATCTGGATTAGTGTTGCACGTTCTCCATTCTTGAATCTGGAATAATGGTGCACGTTCTCCGTTCTTGAATCTGGATTAGTGTTGCACGTTCTCCATTCTTGAATCTGGAATAATGGTGCACGTTCTCCGTTCTTGAATCTGGATTAGTGTTGCACGTTCCCCATTCTTGAATCTGGAATAATGTTGCACGTTCTCCGTTCTTGAATCTGGAATAGTGTTGCACGTTCCCCATTCTTGAATCTGGAATAATGTTGCACGTTCTCCGTTCTTGAATCTGGATTAGTGTTGCACGTTCTCCATTCTTGAATCTGGAATAATGTTGCACGTTCTCCGTTCTTGAATCTGGATTAGTGTTGCACGTTCTCCATTCTTGAATCTGGAATAATGTTGCACGTTCTCCATTCTTGAATCTGGAATAGTGTTGAAAGCCGGCAGGATATCGGCGTCTCATATTGGTATCCCGTCCGCACTGGACAAGTAGATAAGACGCTAGTCAGGTCGCAAAAGGCCATTGTTTCGATCTTATATTGGCACAGGCAGTCTTCTTAAACTGTAACCTCACGAAACCTTTAGATGAGCGTTCAAGTTTTGAGAGTTAGAGGCGACTAACGGAATTGGGTGGTCAGGCTCGCAGGCTTGGTTGATGTATGTCTTTGTATCAAAATTGCGTGGATCGCTGGTTATGATATCGATCACTGGATTGTCTGATCAAGACTCTATTATTTACAGACCGCCGTCATATAGCTGGAATATTGCGGCGTTAAACAACAAGCATTATGTGAACAGTGCACTCGTGAGTGCAGCCAAGTGTGGCTGGTTTCATTATTCCTCTAGTTCGATACCATGAAGCCAGACTGAACCAAGCCACACAAAAAATAAAAGAAATAGGTTAGGCGTGTATTCCCATGTACAAAAGGCCACATATTCCGACCGACATTGCCCTAAAGTGTCACATTAGTAATTCCAAAAAGTTATCATATGCCCACCACGTATACCTAGGTTTAGTTAATCATGGCATTGGAAACAATAATGTGATTATAACAAATCTAGTCATGCAGGTCTATATTTTTGTCGGTTGTGGTTAATTGTATTAATTGTTGTTTCACCAAACATTTATAATATAGATTACCCGTGTAAATAATTTCCTTTCTAATGCATTCACAAAGTGGTATCGGTTTGTTACCAAGGATTTGGCCAGATACTATTGAAAGTTACTTTACTCATGCATCAAAAGTTGGAACTTTGAAATGGATGGTATCTACACATGATGTCATTGTCGTGGTTCTCTATTGCTTCATTGTAACAATAAACAAATCATCTACTTCCCAATATTATTCAAACATGACTTTCTCTGTGTAATTGTCCTTTATTGCTCTTCTCCTCAGAACAATGGAAGGATCTGAGAAGGCCAAAATCCACGTGAATGTTACCATGTTGGCAGAAACAAATAGTAAGAAGTCCTATTTCTACGGTAAAAAGGCATAATCGATATCCTTGAATATATGAATATCGATCTATGACATTAGCAGTTCTAAGTTCCATGAGGCACAGATATATCTACACGTTCATTACAGATTGATATGCCTTACCATAATTTGTACCTCTTGCTGTCTAACACCTCCTATCCTAACTATTTGCCAGTGATTCATAAACACAAATTCATGATGAACTTTTTTTAGCCGTCTGCATTGAAAACATCTATTCAAAAAACAGTTCCAGCCTTTGGTGTCCACATTTCACCGCTTTTGGCATGCTCTTTTCTCAAGATTCCAAAGAGTATCACACAACAAATACTGTTTGATCAATGTTTCGACATTCAACATGTGGCGATTGAAGTAAGAGCAAGGGTGGTGTGATCTATTGTCCGACGTGATTCTTCGTTTGAGGGTGTCAATACCATAAATTTCTTGTTTCGTCCAATCAACAACACCAAAAGAATACGAAAGGACGGTTCAGCATTAGTATTTGTGACTTTGTGGGTAAGCCATTTAGGCAAGAAGTAGGCATCCCATGGGCACCAGTTGTGCTCCCCTTCTTGCGAATTCGGATTGGCAAAGTCAAAACAAGGTAATTTGGCCAAGAAGTTTAACTTGAGCTTCAGGTATAACGGTGATCTGATATCGTTCAATAACAATCAATAGACAATTCCCTTCCACTGATTTACCCACCTGAACTGGAAATAAAGGAGACCAGTGAGACCTCCTCATCTGTTTCATATTGAGATCTATGCATAAAGATTTAGAGTGACAAAATATTCTCCACAGGACTGTATGATAAAATGGATGACTTTAGCTTTCCAATAGTCAACTTTCCCTTCATGTCGAGCAATATTCCAGCAGCTCGAGCCTTTTGTGTTTACATTTTTGCAATTTTTGAGAAACAATCGAGCATGGTCTTTCAACAAGATATCAACGAGCGTGTTAAGACTCTTGCTCAGAAGATGTTTCATCAAGGTTACAACATTCAAGGCCCCAGTAGAGTTTCAAAAAGTTGTAAGGTAGCCATATGGAGGACATTTCCAGATTTCACGCATCAATCACAAAAATGATGGCTGAAGGTATTCCCTATTTTGACTTTGTACCACGTGTTTCCATATTTTCGGGTGAACAATTGACTTGCCTTTGCATGTGTTTGTGACGGTGGCCACCGGTGGGGCAGGAAACGCTCACCTTTTCTCGAACACCTGGTATCGTAACTATTTGATAGTTCATGATTTCGTCGGAATCGTACAATCGACTCTATGCAGAGATTTCTATTGGATATGAAAAGGGTTTTGTCACTTTATTTGACTTCATTGCTAGCTCTGATTTTCATGTTTTCTTAAGTCTACATTTGTGCTCTGCCCGAAGTTTTTCCGGAGTTTGTCAAGTACGTGTACGCCTGACCTTCCATGAGATGGTCAGAAAATCTTCCCCGAAGTAAACTGACTGTTTCTCCCTCTTCTAATTTGCCAAGTTTCAGATGAAGAATGTTGCATTTGTCGAGTCCAAAGGATATGCTAATATCATTAGAAAAGTATTCGACTTGCAGAATCCATGTGAAGGATGTGAGTAAGAGGCGTTGGGGATCTGTGCTGAGGAGGTCCAGGATAATAACCTTCATCCTTGCTAAGCAAAAAGCTTAAAGGATTTAGTGACTAACAGAAAAACAAATGACTAAAAGAATCGCCCTGAAATATTCTACTTCTAATAGACATGGGTTACAAAGTCAGCATCTGCTTCTGCAAATACGTCTCAAGTTGAGTTGACCTGCAATAATACATTAAAGACTTGAGTAAAACAAGTAGCTACTCGGGGAGGTCAATACATTCCAGTTACTTCAAAATCCACTCATGAGGAACAGAATCATAAGCTTTTCTGTGGTCTATCCAACACGGGGGGCACGGGTGGCCCAGTCGTCTAAGGCGCCGCGATTCGCTGTGCAGAGTTGCGTCCCTTGGGCACGCCAGAAACCTATGATTGTGGGTTCGAATCCCGGTTCGCCCCGATAATGTTTCTAGGTTTGTCAGCACCATACCCGTGCTCGTGGGTTTCACCGAAGTGGTTAACGTCTGAGACCTGCATCACTTCGGGCTTTCCTCCCACATTAAGCTGACACGCCGCGATATAACTGGAATACTGTTAAAAGCGGCGTTAAACCCAACTCACTCACTCACTCACTCACTTTCCAACACATTGAGAGCTTACGGTAGTAAGTTTTAGCTCTTCAAGGATCATTTTCTGAACAAGTAATTGATCTTTACAACCCCACCGTCCTTTTCTGTCTCCTTTCTGTTCCATGTATATAATATCATCGGAAGCGCAGTACGATGACACAAGATATGTAAGACACCCTTTAAATGTTATCAATATATGTCTACGATATGTGTAACCTTTAACATGTTGATTGTTTCAGCTGCGGAAATATGTTCCTCGAGAAAGTGCAATGAGAACCAGCATATGCAGTTGAATGACACATGTGGTATGAAAATGTAAGTTTTAGATAGTTTTCTATTACTCACTGTTAACTGGGTTTCACGTATTTACTCGAGCAACGAGTTAGCATGTACTGTGTAATTACATAATTAGGCGTCGTCCTTATGAATCTCAAACTCCATGTCCTGTGACATGTGTTATATCAGACTGTTATTCGTGAGCAGCCTCCCACAAACTGGTTTTGTTTGTTGTTGAACGCTGCACTCAGCAATATTCCAGCTATATGACGGCGGTCTGTAAATAATCGAGTCAGACAATCCAGTGATCGACAAGAATGGGTTGCAGAAGACCTATTCTTACCTGGATCATGACGGGTGCCTACCAATTGGGGTCACAACTGTCCAGGGATGAAATGAGGGTCAACAGAGAAAATTAACATATTGAATATCTTTCAATTCGATGGATATGTACTTAATGTTGTCATTGATGGAATTCACAAATGAAAAAAGAAGAAACGTTATTGGCATGAATCTGTGCACCTGAAAAGCTTGCAGTTGTTCCACTGACAAGCCCCTTAAATAACATAACCATTATATGTAAGCATCGCTTCTTTAATGTACAAAATAACTTATATAGATATATAGGAATATAAATATATTAACTTCCTGAAAACTGCTGACATTAAATAGCACTACATTCCTTAAAGACCCGTGACGATCCGGGGTAGAATAGGTCTTCAGCAACCCATGCTTGCTTTAGAAAGCTTTAGACTATGCTTGTCGTAAGAGGCGACTAACGGGATCGAGTGGTCAGGCTCGCTGACTTGGTTGATGCATGTCATCGATGCTCATAATATTAATCAGACTCAATTATTTACCGCCATCATATAGCTGGAATATTGCTTAGTGTGGCGTCAAACAACAAACCAACCAACAACATTCCTGACAACTAATCTTTGTCAAGATACAATGCAATGAACTTCTACTGAATCTCAACAGAAACAATGTAACAATAAACTATCCTGCCATATAACAGTACATGTATGATGATAATTCAAACCATGTATATAAAGTGTTTCTCAAGGGTAGGGTTAAATTACTTAATTCCCCCTATGTATTGTTTTGTGACGACCATGTCAATTTCACAGATTGTGCTCTGACGCATTAGCATTTTGAATTGCTTTGTATTAACTGAACACGGAGTCGGTGAAAAGACACCCCAAAGAATCAGTCAGAACTTGTCTCTATAACGTTATTTGAAATATTCAAGTTAGAGAGTGACTGGGCAGCAATTGTTCCCCAGTTGATGCAAATACGTTCCTAGCTCATGATACGATTGTAATGTGGAAGTCTTATGAATGGCTATGCCATTATTTCTTCAGTGTCTACCGACAAACCTGCAACATGTCAAACGCTTGTTACAGTGCAATATATGATTGGGTCATGCCTCGATGTCCTCCAACAAATAGTAAGTTTGTGTTTTGTCTGTTTCAACACAGTCAATTTCCAGTTTTTCAATTATTAATGCTAAGTATATAAAACATCATATCAATAATCTCATCCTTCAGTATTAGATACTCTTTCGTACTATTTATTCGTGACATTCTGCGTGATGTTTTTTTCAGATATTATGAATTGTGTTTTAGATGGAGGCCCAACACGTGACATAGCTTGGATAAACTTTGTTTTCAAGTACGTAGTTTTAAACTATTTTTAAAATTACTTTTGGTATATGTCAAATACGTTATCCTTTATACAGTTTGGTCCACTCACTCACAAAAGACCGTCAAACCAAATAGTGAGTGAATTCGGTTTGACACTGATGTTAAACAATACTCCAGCAATATCAAGCACCAAACCCTACATTGTTCTCGGTGCCTTAGGTTTGGTACCTCACAATCGGTTAACTGACAGTGGAAAAGTACCCGGGTTTGTTACCAGGAACACAGCCTTTTGACAATCTGAGTAATACAGAAGGCTGCAGTGTTGGGGAATCTTCAACTTCTCCGAAAGGTTCTGTGTGGGTTTGAGTAGGCAGCGCTTTCTGGGACAAGTCCCATTCGATGTCTGGGTTGTGTGTTGAGGGGGCAAGGGGATGTACCAAACTAGCCCGACTGTGTCAGGATCTCCCAAAACCTTTTTATTTATTTTAATATGTAAAATAATAATAATATAATAAGAGACAAAGCGACGCCCATAATCATAAGAAATCTCGACTATTTCATAAGCATGAATCACTATCAGATATTGATGATACCAGATGTTCGCAAGCACACATGCAAAGGCAAATGATTTGATTGAAGTCGTACCGTTACGCGAGTTATCATGATATTTTAGTGAGAGTTACTACTTTTTTCATGTTGAATATGTGATATTGAATATGTTTCCAGATTTAAAGATGGGAATCAGTTGGCAAGAACATGCATAGGCCCAGGTAATGTGAACGAATAATTTCCGCAAAGTTATTTTTATGATTTCCAAACTTTGAGATAATGTATGTTTGGGTTAATGTTTGACATAATTGTAGATTTTAACACGTATATTAAATTTCAGGTGAATTGCCGTGTTCCTGTACTGAATGTCAAAGGACAGATGCCTGTTGGAAGAAATGCCTTATAGGGTAAATTCAACATTAACATTCTGTAGATGTTTCCACACTGCGAAAAAATGTCTTGGGAATTTTACTTACTTAATAATTAGTCACAGCGGCCAGAAAGTATTAACCATTTCTGCCAAAAGAAGAGTCGATTGTACGATTCGAGTCACTATCAAATATCAAATGATACCAGGTGTGCGCCAAAGGCCACCGATGGCTCCCGTCACAAACACATGCAAAGGCAAGTCAATTGTCCACCTGAAAACAACAACAACAACAACAACCACACGAGGTCATATGGTGCAAATCTAACCAATGAATTTACTATCCTGCCTGGACGAAGATGTTGAAGATGCATGAAGATGTAGTAAATATCACGTAATTCTAAGCAATCGATAACCATCTGTCCATCAAAAATCACTTTTGCGTTTCGTCTTTTGTAGAGTATATATACACGTAGTTGCTAGCGACACATTTGGACTAATTGACTGATAACACAGGCCCTACTGTTTTGCTTTTTATAGCCTTCAACTTACACATGCTGACTACACGAGTTAATATGATTATTGCATTCCTGTTGATTTTATTTATATATTACAGCTCGATATAGCACCGTAATTTGAAATATGAAATAAATAAACATCAAATATAGAAAATCCTGGAAGCCTTATCTTGAACTATGTAGTGTATTACAAAGCTGAATACGAATTTCACAAACATGAACGTTCCATACATAAAATAAAATAAATTTACCATTGTCGTACAGGTTTTTCAGATGTGTCTGCGAGGCGGAATCCAAGAATTGTAAGTACAGAACAGTTAGTTTGAGGAATTGAATGACAAATGAATGTTCATTTTACCACGAAATATTTCACATCTCTGATGTACATGTACACTAAGCCCCACCCTGACTATAAATAGCCCGCAAGGTGGCGGTGTTTCAGTTTCGAACAATGACTGACAATGTAAACACAACTGAGTGTCGGGAGACGTTTTTTGAAAACCATAAGGGAACCAGATCACCATTGACCGTCAAACTTCGTATCAACTTGAATGACAAACCATGGATACAACAAATGGCTCCATATCAAGATATAAGTCAATAGATTTTCTGTAGTTTTATCATAAAAAATCGAATCGATCGTGTTTGGCGTCTGCATCAATCACAGTGGGCGGAGCTTATTTACGGTTGCGCTATAAATAGCAAAGCACATGGTCATGTGACACATTCAATGCATTTGTGGTCAAAGTGAATTGTGTTGCATATTTTTACGGCAGAACATCAGTTTCGGTTAATGTAACAGTAACGATATTTAAATACGAAATTGGCGACGCGATTCTTTCAGTTCAATCCGAAAATTACAGATATTTGTTTACTTTTGGTCATTTGCATTCAACAGTTAGATTTGTGCCACACAATAATCAGTTAATATTTATAAAACCTAAATTATTACACCGATTTTTCAACTAGTGTTTAGGAAGGGGCCTAATTTGAAGCACCAGAAGTTGCGCCAATATTTCTCAGCTTGACTTCCATAGATGAATATGTCACGTGTATCAACATAACAATGCACATAAGCAACTGGTAAATAAGTAACGAAATATACCTGATGTTTTGACCTACTGAAGGCGTATCCAGATAATATTGTACTTACGATAAACGAAAACTCCAATACACATATTCCAAGACAACTTTAATTATGAATTTCCTTTTCTTTCACAGAATTTTCAAACACAAAACTGAGTTTGATCATTAGATCCACACTTGTCCCATGTATTTTTTGTTCGGGGTATTTGGATACACTTCGCGCACAAGTTTTAAAATACAATCTGGGATCCCTTTCCCGTTTTGTCAACACCTATCCTTCATCTGCTGCAACGTTTAATTCCGTTTCTTCAAGTCCAAGTATCTACGATCTCTCCAAACACTTCGTTTATTTAGCTCAGTCCAGAAACAATGTGTTCGAATCGACGAATTTCTGCAACATGGTGGCCGCACCATTCCCTAACTGCGATTGCCTGTGCCGTGTCACGCATGGTTGACAAAAGAAGTGTGAACATACATATTCGGCTTCATCTGGTTCCAAAATGAAATCTAGCTGTGACACTGATTCACTAATCCCAAGAATCGGCACTGAATTTATCAAAGTTTCTGTTGCACTTGCAAGGGCGGGAAGAGAGGCGCCATCTTGTCGATTCGAGTTGTGAATCGGAATGATGTCATCTTGAACTGGAACCTTCTCCACGATAAAGTCACCAATGTCACAATCGAAATGACCTAAGGCTCCCTGATTATCTCGAACAATTCTTCGTCAAATTCGGCTCCACATGAAAATGTTCTGTTGCTTATATTGAAGACAAGCGAAATTGCAAAGTTCTTGACAGTTGTAAGCAGCAACTCGATGCGCTCATGGGGCGTGGTTGCTAGGAGATCGCGTGTTCAGAAAGGCGAAAATAAAAAGTTTTAGAAAGTTATAAAAGAAATACCCAGTGCAATGAAAAAGTACCATGTACAGGATATTTTTTAATAATAATATTCACGAAAAAAATCTTTTCTTAAAAATGCAAAATAATTTATTAATTTATCCCAAGGTCGTAACCCTGATCACGTGGTGGGTATTCGGAAGGAATCTTTGCGATGACGCCGTGAATGAGGCCGTGTGTATTACATTGTTGAATTCGACTGCCCAGGAAGATTGTTGAGGCATTGACATTATGACAGATGTTCGTCATGGATGGAGAGAAAAATGTATCTGAGAGAAACATTGTTGCTTTGAGCTTCGAGACAAAACACTACTGAAGTAGCCAGCGACCTGAATGTAAGCTTGATGAAAGTAATGTTGAAACCCATTTTCACGCACATGACAGAATTAATGTGAACAAATATTTTTCTGAACATCGTTTCGTAGTCTATGAGGCTGTCCGTTTTTGAATATTTTTATCTCCATTCCGACGTGAAATAATATAATGTCTTCGTGTCTCAATTTTGCTGCCGCTGTGGAAAATTGCGCACCGATCTAATAAAAGAAATACTACTAGATCTACAATTGCACCGTCATAAAAGAACCAGGTCAACTTTATCTTTGTTCCCATGTTTATTAAAAATTCTTTTCCGAAAAAAGCGAATCGATCTACATCATAAATTAATTCATAGACTAGATTCTAGTACCAAGTGTTGAACCTTTTTTTAAATGTCATAAAATAACTTACACAATTATTGAAAGACATTTTTTGATAAGTCTGTCATATATTTTATTTCGTCCGCCCGCTCTCTGATTAATTGAGGCTTGAGGGGAGAAACACATACAAAAAATATGGATGGCCTTATGCAAATGACACTTGGCATGCCAATCAACAGGGATCTGGGTCACTGGGACCCGCCAAGTTTCACGGATCGAGTTACTTCGGCATGAGGAGCTTCATCGGACAAGTGAGACTTTGCCAAAATACATTGCTACTGGGCAATGAAAAAACGACAAGAAACTACTTTGATCACTTGAAAATATTTTTGACCATTACCAGGGTTTTTTACACGATCGTTGTCATCCAGATTCCAGATGAGGCAAGACGAACACAACGAAGAAAAACATTGTTGAAATCACCGATTGCCGTATATATTGTGAGAAATGCTATTTGTAAACTGCAGTTATACCGTACACCACAGGATAGCGATTGGTGCCCCAACACATATTATGTTTCTTCATTTACACTGCTCATATGCATCACGACAAACGTATTTCGTTCTAGAACTATAATTTGTGTGTTGGATAAATCGTGGACATTCCACGGTATCATTTTATGAAGATGTGAAGACGACATGGCAGGTAGGTTTTGAAACCAAAGACGTACGCGTTTGTTGAAAAGTCTTGGAATCGTTTGGTAGATATTTATATTACCATTAAAACTTACGTCCTTGTTGTCAAACGACCCACGTGGGTGGGTGTTTACATGACGTCACCCGTTTACGCATTAACCAATGAAATGTATGTGTTATCATGACGTCATATAGACCTGTCAAATCACTTTTATAAGCTCCGCCCACTAGAGTGCGGTAGTTACTACCGCAGACTTGCGAGGATCGTACAGGGCTGCTGATGCGAACATCTTCAACCCAAATAAGTACTAGAATCTGTACTTAACTAAAAAGTGTTATCCCAAATATAACATTTATTTCTTTTGACCACTTTCTAAGTGGTATTGTGTGTTCATCTTCAAGTTAATGTATACATATTTAGAGCATATACTGAAACACAAGGACGTCTGGCTTATGCAGACACAAGGCCAAAGTATGTGTTCACAATTGTTCCAGCACGGCCCTTGCATCGTGTTCCTGGTAAATATGTTATCGGTTTTTGTCACCGTTTATGACGTGAATAGAGTTAAGGATGTCATCGGTTATCATTTTTACTGTTTATACATTCGTAATAATTTTCAATGTGCATGTATGGCAGGGTCTTCTTCGGTCCAAGTGACCTGTGGTGTTAGAATTTGGTCAACTAATGGCCGATAAACGGATCGAAAATGTTAGACGTTAAAGTCCGAAATGTTCCTTAGGATGGCAATGCCATATATCAGGGTGTGTCAGGTTAATGTGGGAGGACAGCCCGAAGTAAAGCAAGTCTAATACGTTTATCACTTCGGTGAAAGCCGTGAGTACGGTGATGGTCCTGACAAACCTAGAAACATAATCGAGGCGATACGGGGTCGAAACTGCGGTCATAGATTTCTGGCGTACCCAAGGGACGGAACTCTGCACAGCAAATCCGAGCGCCCTAGAGCGCCAAAGGATAAAACAGTAGCAGAGACATTAGGCCATGTTTCTGTTGGGTTCTCAGGGAGGAACGACATACGCGGGAGTAGAGAGACGAGCCTGCCACTTGACCGGCGTTAGTTCAAGGCTGTCGCATCTTACATAACAGCACGTGATTGCGCTTACCTGCAACTAATCACATTACAAGAGCGGACATCTGTTGGCCTATCATAATATTATACACCAGCTTATTTAAAGATACTATGTTTCAATTACAGATATTACCGTTTCAAACGCTTTACTCTCTTTAATACTAGGCACACCACCAACCGATACTATGACAAATGGTACCACAACCTCTGACACAATCACAAGTACTACTACTACTATTAGCAGCGAACCCACCATTGCTGCATCATCTGGTCCAGCCAGCGACACTGCAGCCTCCACAATAACTACTGATACTACAGCATCTGGCACACAAACTGACACACCTACCCCTGGTCCAGCGAGTGGCAAGACAACATCCGACACACTTACTGGTACTGCATCCCCTGCATCCGGCACAGATACTGCAACCCCTGGTCTATCCAGCGGCAAAACAGCCTCTGGTACAACCACTGATACAGCTTTTGCAGGAACAGGTCTGTTCAAACAACAGTGAACCAATGGTTTTGAGAAATTAAATAGAATAATACATAATTTATATCAGGCAATGTGTATTTGTATCAATGAATTGTCAATTGAAAAACTTATTGTCATAATCATTGCATACGGTTTCACGTAGATGAACAAGTCGGATCTCAGATGGGAGTTCTCGTTGGAGGAGTCGTTGGAGGACTCTTTGGGGGCGTCGTCATCACGGTTGTCATCGTACTCCTTTGTCGTGCATGTCGCTCAAGAAGAAGGTACTTCAAAACATTCCTGACGCCATAACGCATTAGTCAAGTAAATGATTATAAAGTGTTTAATATGTGTGAAAATGTCAACATCCATCATTAAATTATCTTTGGAGCATGGCTATTGTAAAATTGTCTGATTAATCATAAAGACATTAAGACATTAAGAACGTTATCATGATCCTCATATCAGACGTCATTATTATTTACAGAAAACTGAGGGGAATCAAGTTGTTTGTAAATTGGTGTTAGACAATATCACTAGCACATGATGAACTTCCACTTCACCCTAATTAACGTATTTTTAAAAATATTTATAGACATACAGAAGATGAAGACGGAGCAGGGACGAAGGAATCCCACACCTATCTGGGATTGGTAAATTGTTTGTTGCTGTCATATTTCAATCTTATCCAAACTCTTTTATGTGTGATATACTTCTGATAGGTGGAAGCAATTACAAAATATGTACAAGTTGATAGATTGATTAGTATTGGGTTAGTTCAATAGTAGAAATAACACATGTATTCATCAGTGTCGTTTCTAAATACTGATTCGAAATAGACTTAACACTTCTCCCAACTAGGTAGCCAAATGTTCAGTGTTGCAATAATGGAATAAGGGTTTCGAATTCATATAGATATTAGTGTGTTGTTTTACGAATAGGACTAAGTTAATGACAATGCCAATTAGGCTGGTAATTTTAGCACTTATAACGGTATATTACGGTCAATATATTATTGATGTTCAAGGTGTATATTCTGCTAACAACTATTACCAGGTATCACAAATGCACGTTAACAAGCTAACTGTAGTCATTCAGTGCGACGTCACGTGTAAACAGGTACATAGAAGTGATGCTATGTAAGACTGACAAGCCATTATTATGCTTCTTTTAAGATTCACACCACCAGTTCAAGTGGGAAATCCTCCCCTGGTACAAATGCGGTGACATCCCAAGTCCCGGATCTCATTAAGGTTTCAGCTGTACAACAAGCGTCCAGTGCCCCGTCAGATGTGTATGACGTCATCAAAGAGGGAGACGACAACCAGCTGGGGGTGGATCCTTCTGCCTGCGACCAGGGGGACTATGTAGACATAACAGATGACATGACTGGGGCAGCTGTGTATTCCCTGGCACAAGCAGCTCCCGGGATGGCGGTACAGGGCGGTACACCACAACCTGCTGCAGAGTACTTTGTTCTGGAAAAGGATGATCCGACAGGCGGCGACTATAACAAATTGGTCAGAGATGGCGCTACTAAGACAGGAACTGACGTACATGGTACGTACAACAGACTGGTCAGAGATGGCGCTGCTGAGACAGGAACTGATGTGCAGGGCACATACAACAGACTGGTCAGAGATGGTGCTACTGAGACAGGAACTGATGTGCAGGGTACATACAACAGACTGGGCAGAGAGGGCGCTACTGAGACAGGAACTGATGTGCAGGGCACATACGACAGACTGGGCAGAGAGGGCGCTACTGAGACAGGAACTGATGTGCAGGGTACATACAACAGACTGGTCAGAGAGGGCGCTTCTGAGACTACAACTGATGTGCAGGGGACATACAACAAATTGGGATCAACAAAATATGATAATGATGACAACGAGCCAGGTAGAAACATCGGGACAGCTGCTGATTATTTCGTCCTAGAGACACCTGAAGACACATCCAACAAACTGGCACAAGCAGCCCCGGGGATGGCGGTACAGGACGATACACCACCATCTGCTGCTGAGTACTTCGTTCTGGAGAAGGATGACCCGACAGACGGCGACTACAACAGACTGGTCAGAGGTGGCGCTACTGAGACTACAACTGATGTGCAGGGTACATACAACAAATTGGGATCAATGGTAGATGACAATGAAGACAACAGCCCAGCTGGAAACAACGGTACAGCAGCTGATTATTTCGTCCTTGAGAAACCAGAAGACACGTACAACAAACTGGAAGGGAAACGCTCCACTGAGGAAGAACAAGAACCCTACACCAAACTTGGAGAGGCGACACCCAAGAGAGAATCAGAACCCCCTGATGATCCATGTGGACCTTCACGAGAGTACTTCATTCTGGAGGATCAGACTTAACCCCACAGTACATGATGTCACCTATTCAGATATGATTTGAACTTCTTAACAATGGATTATACATACCGGTTGGCTCTAGACAATGAAGAACACGATTGGAACCTCATTTCATGTATAGGATACATTTACCTGAGAATATATCTTGTCCACAGATGTCAGATTCACGTTGACTGAATAACAGAGTTGGAGTTGATCGATGTCCTTTGCCAACCTTGATCACCTGACTTTTTTTCAATGGACATATTTCAGTGACACCCATGGGGAACCATGGCTTCTGTGTTTGCACTATTAGACACAAATCGGTTGAACATATTTTGTGCAGAGTTGCGTCCCTTGGGCACGCCAGAAACATATGGGCTCGAATCTCGGTTCGCCCCGATTGTTTCTTGGTTTGTCAGCACCATACCCTTGCTCGTGGGTTTCAAAGAAGTGGTAAACGTCAGAGACCTGCATAACTTCGGGCTTTACTCCCACATTAAGCTGACACATCGCGATATAACTGGCAAACTGTTAAAAGCGGCGTTTATCACAACCCACTCACCATTAACATTTCATGTGATTATCAACTCATTCAATATGACACGCCGCGATATAACTGGAATACTGTTAAAAGCGGCGTCAAACCCAACTCACTCACTCATTCAACATTAACATGAAGTAGACATGAACGTGTACAATGATGTCTGTACACATTGTGTTCCTGATATTCGTTTTGTTTCCGTTGATCAGAATGATCGTTTTTTATTTTATTGTATTCCCTATACACATCCCAAAAATATGACACTGTTTCATTTCATATATGATGATGATATCTAGTTAATAACCAAGCCATTATGTCACCTTGGCTCTACTTTAGGGCTTTACTGTTTTTGTTATTTAACCAACTCCTATTCACTATCACCTCGAATAAATTTATATGAACACTGTACATACAAAGCAATAAAATGTCCATTATATTACAAATTAATGTATATGAAGTCGTTATTTGTGCCATAATAACAGGCACCACATCAATTTTAATTCAAATTCACATATTTCGCACCCCTCCATCAGTTTTCCTTGGTGTCTGTGTGAGCTGGGTGATATAATCCGCCATTTTGGGACTGAACAACGTTCTGGTGGTGATAATAACAGCCATACTGTCTCGACTGGGCAGTTGCCTCCCTGACTCTGGAGTGAGTGAGTTTTGAAGAAAACTTCACTTTCACGGCGAGTTATCATAAAGGAGGGTGAAAGCTCCAATTGACGCAGATTATGGACATTTCCTGTTGCGTTGAAGCCCATGATTACGGACATGTGTGTGTGAATTGATGATTCAAACCAATAACCAGCAGACCCAGGCACGGCTATAATATATCTTTGTATATCTCTGTCGCCCATGATTCTTCTCTATTTATACATTTAAAGCCATCTAAGCCATCCCAAATTTACACCCATGAGACAGGAAATATAATTTTGATACTTTGTGCGTGAACATACCAAACCCCACGTGGAAATACAGTTAAATAAAAACAAAACATATTTGAATGATTACTGTGAATCATTGTTTTTTGGCATGTGTTTCAACGGATGCCACTGGCGAGAAGGATACACACCTTTTTGCGAACACCCGGTATTACCACTATGTTATGAAATACACCCTTAAACTCTGACAAGTAGAAAAATAAGTAGAAAATGGACAAAATTATTTACCTCCCTTGGAGAGTGGCTGTACGTGAAATCGCTGCTTTTCTGTGTAATGATTCCACGTTAAGAATGTCTTCGGTGCCAAAAAGGTGTATCGGTCGATATCTGGAGAGCAAGGATCGGCTGTTTCATTACCCCCCCACACACACACACACCCCAATGGACAAAGGGCACTGTCACTGCTTACAGGCTTCTACTTTGTACAGTAATACTGCTCAGGGTATCCCGCTCTATTGTCTATTGCTTACAACATGCAGTATATACGGGAGACAGAATATCAATTTACCAATCTACCCCTCCCGGGTGCGGAGATGAGTGTTTGTGTCACTGATTACAACAGGTTTACATATTGAAAACCAGGCAGCTACAATGACGATGCATCATAACGTAACCCAGCCCATTGAGAACCGACTTGCCAGGCATGCAGAGTTCCATTATCCAGCAAATCAAGGAAGGAAACGTTAAGAAATGACACAGGTTCTATGAGAGATGATACAGGTTTGCTTAGATGTGACGTCTCAGGATTACAAAAGAAAATGTATACTAACAGGGAAAAACAGAATATAATCCGATTGGATGTTGATGTGGTTCGGGAAAAAGTGGATGATGTTACGATAGAATTCACTGAGGTGGGAAACCATGTAGAGGACTTAGAAAGCGGGAGTAGGAGAAAAAAACATCATCATCTATGGTATCCCAGAAGGGACAAATGAATCCTACACTACATGCAAGTAGAAAAAGTAATTAATTCAATCAGAGAAAATAACAATATCAACCTATTGACACTGATGGAAATCAAATCGGACATCAGAAACCTGATAAACCACGAGCAGTTATTGTATGACTGATTGGGATAATATGATGAACAGTCTTGAGTCAAATCATTTGCAACACCATAACTTTTAGATCATAAACATTCCCATAAGTGTTCATCATATCACCCCAATCAATCAGTGATGCAATAACTGCTCTTGGTTTACAGGACACGGAGACAAGAAATGAGAAAGTGTAAAAATGAGAATCCGAATAGACATCGCTCCAAAGCATTATACGTATGCTTCATGTAAAAGTGAATCCAGCACGGTGAGAGGTGAGAGTGGAGGTTGACTTAGGGAGGGGACAGGTACAGACAGGGATGTGGTCGGAGCTCAAGAGATATCATAATCACAGCAGTGATAAAAGTTATGTTGATTTTAAAATTTGAAATATGTCAGGACTTAAAGTAAAACTGCAGTACTGACCTTGAATGCATTCCGTTTTTGGCGTCGGGTGATATTGTTGGTATGAGCCAGACATCGGAAGAAGAGAAAAGAAATATTCTCTGCTATTGTTATAAGGTTAAAATGCGCCTCAAAAACATTAGAAATTGGTAAAAATATTGTAACAAATTAATCTGTTCATAGCTGCAATGATGTGGTTGCATTAGGTATACAGAGTTCGATGCAGAGCTATTATCCACATTATGGTAGCGTACTTTATGATTCATGAATGAGGTAAGATACTTTTCATTTGTGGAATCAGGAAGTGAGTTACAAAATCAATAGAGAGATGCTCAATCTGGCACGTAGGCTTCGGTATTTTTCCGATTATGACACACTTGAGTTCATGGTCATACCTAAACTTTTAACGAATCAAACTGAGACATTGTAACATTGTTGCAAAGAAAAGTGAGACTCGACCCCTTTAAAAAGATACGTTCAACACTAGTAGTACATGGTGCGCGGTTTTGGCAGTGACTGAGGCAGATCGTTATCACTCTGTCCAGTCTGTGACGAGTCTAGTCTGTCTTATGTCGAAGTTGTATTTGAAGATGGACTGGAACGTTATTAAAAGTATGTGAGTATAACACGTGTATTCCTGGTGAGTGCAAGGGCCGGTACATGAATGCAGATAGAGACAGTTCGGAGTAAGAGTCGACAGACCAATCACTCCTTGACTAAGATGACTGATTCTGATCAAGCGAGTCATGACTTACCTTACTTCTGACGACACGGAACTGTAGTAGGGCTCAGTTAACCACAAAACGCATTTAAGACACTATTCATTATTTGAAAACAACATAAGTTCAGGAAACAATGAATGACATCCTTCTTCCCTATTTGGAAACTTTTTCAATTCAATTCTGGAAACATTGTATTTTCCAAAAGAATGGACACGTAGTGTAATTATTCCTATACGTTTGTTTGTTTCTCGTTTAACACAACAATATACACAAAAAGGACGAACAAATGATGTTGATTCCAGAGGTATAACATTTGATTCGGTATGTGGAAGTAAATAATGTTTTATTTTTTGTTCTGAAGGTAACACCATGGGAAAAGTATTATGTAATATTTATCAAAAGGTAAAATAATGGCATATATTCAGAGACTTTTCCTTGTGAGTCTGGAGTGTTGCGACAATGCTGTGTGTTAAGCCCTTTTCTCTTCGCATTCTTTATTAATGAATTTGCCGAACAGATAAAACGTAATCATGAAAGAGGGAATTCAAATACACTCAGAAACATTCAGTTTCATGTGAAGATCTTCCTCTATAAATGTGGTTACTGTTATGTATGGTATAATCATGGTGTGTCACAAACAATCAAGAACTTTGTTTTAATGTCACTAAGACAAACTATTGTGGATATGTACATCCAACAGTGGACTTCTTATTGTTGATCCATGATGTAAATGTTGCTTCAATAAGTTATACACATCATTATTACCTACTGAATGGGTACAATGTGTGAAGCCCATTTCTGGTGTCCACCGCCGTGATATTGCTGGAATATTGCTAAAAGCGGCGTAAAACCATACTCACTCACTCACTCACTCACCTACTGAAAGCTATTCAATGCATATAAACCTGAGGAAGTTAAGGACATCACAGTCACAATTCAGATGTAGTTCACACTGGTTGATGCTTGCACTGGGAAGGTACAATTACATACCAATAGATAAGAGATTGTGTTCGCAATGTAATTCAGATCCAGTGGAGGATGAATAAGGTTAGAAAAACATACATAAAACGGTTTTATATTGTTCATCCAAAAGTAAAAAAATGTTTCTTTGATGAAATCAGTTCAGACAAATGTCGTTCGTAACTTATCAGTGTATATTTATCTTGGCATGTCAATTAGGAAGTAATGCGTTTATGCACCCTCTGCGCTTGTATCTTGCAATACATATACTGTGGCATGAGGCCTTTCAGTATTGAGAATAACAGGTTGATTGACAATGAAGGGACCTCGGCCCATTTGCACAAAGCAGTCTTAGCGCTAAGATGTTCGTAAGTCTATGTTAAAGTATGGGACCTACGATCACGTTAGCGCTAAGATCGCTTTGTGAAACGAAGCCCAGGGCCCACTTGCATAAACAGTCTTTAGCGCTAAGATGATCGTATCTCCCATACTTTAACATAGTTAAATAGCTTACAATAGTCGCTTTGTGCAAGTGGGCCCTGGACAAACTTTCCGCTTAACAGGTTTGCTAGTTATCTCCTAGCTCATTGGCGATATGAACACAATGTCGTCTCATTGTGGGTTAGGAGTTAGCAGGGTAGTTATTGTCGGGTGGGGATAAGCGCTTGCACTTGTCTGTTAATTACTCATGCGGGATCCTCCCCAAACCCCAACAGCTTATAATAAAGTTCACAGTTGTGTGCACAGCTAACCCCCTAGCTGCTACCTCCGAATTCGTAATTAAATTGATGAACCCAAACAAAGAACCAAACTATATGATTATAATTTATTGGGTACAAGAATGACAAATACACAACACATTATACTAATGAAGCATGGTTATTGGTTATTGTTATATATTCAGCATAAATATCTTTGATCACGTCCAACAGATAATGAGATTGTTAACCTTGGATTATTCCTTCTCAGCTTATCCTTACTCTCATGGTTGAATTTGCATTCAACTTTTTTATAACTTTATAAGAAGTTTCGACAGAAGATGTCTTCGATATAGATAATCTACGTGACGTAAACACTGAGAAAGCACACTACTTAATACAGCTCTTTCAAAATGTGAAATTCCAAAACTGTGAATTTGAAAAAAATGACAAAGCTGCTGTTATTGATAATATCATTAATGTATCTGTTTTAACAACCATTGATGTCTTTAAAGATATTTTTATCAAACTTTGTAACATGGTTCTTGGTACTGGCACATTCCCAGAACAACAGTTGGGTGTTATTAAATCAATCTTTAAAAATAGGGGGAGTTATTACAAGGTAGGAGAAAGTATT